CACTCCTGATAAAATATCAAGCACCTCTGTCACTAACTGCAGAGTAATTATTATCATAATTAGGGAGAACTGCAAGTCAGACTTTGCATTCAATTTAATCTTGTTTACCTTAACTAGCTTGTCTAAAGCTTTCAACTTAACTGCAGCAGTTGTAACCCTTGCTATATCATGTAAGGCTATCTCAGTCAGAGGAATAAAGTGCTATGAAGCCATTTCAGTGATACAGTACAGTATGTTAATTAGTCAACAGAAACTCAACGATACCTGGGATCAGATTCAAAGAGGTGTTGAGTGCCATTGCCATGGTGAATGTCCCAATCCACAATCAGAACCCTAAAAGTTAAATGATATATTAATTAATCCTTAAGTTAGCAAGAATTTCTAATTAAAAATTATATTTGTGGCTATTCAAAATAATTCACAAGTCTATTAGCCTGTAAAATACTATGTTGGAAAATATGCTTATGTGGAGACATTTTACATCTGATAACAAGTCAGAGAGGCTAAGAGGTGAATCAGTGAAAAGCAGGTATAAGTATTGGAATATTCCACAAGATAACAACAAAGAATGATTGCTATGTCATTCAACTAGTTGATAACACCTTTAAGTCCGATGGGCTGTTTCACCTTTTATTTGAAAAATTTTCTTTGAATTTTCACATAAAATGCATCTATGGCTAAACCACTAATTGATGACAAACATGACAAGGTCTCTGGCCACATATTTGAAAAGTAAAACATTTTCATTGTTCAATAGTTACATATTTATGACAATTCACCCAATCATTACCTGCATAACACAATAAATTAATTCAACAGCCCACTGCCCAGTTCCTTTTCAATAAATACCTCTGCACATTCCATCTTTGTTGAGCTATTTTTGCAGCAACAGCCACATTGTTGAAAAAGCAGTAACCCATGGCAAACTCAGTGTCAGCATGATGCCCTGGTGGCCTGATGATATGAAAAAAAAATATAGAAAGATTTAGGATGAAGAGACTAGAGAAGGAGGGGAGGAGTTTACTGTGTAAACTTTGGCAGTGACTCATAATTTTATGCAGAAACTACCTCTCAGTAAATAAAAACAAATTGACTTAGATGTTTTAATTGAAATCACTACATTTTGTAGTGGCCAAATAGAGTAATCTCAACCTTTTTAACCCTTAAATTCCCATGATTGACCAAGAGAGAACTACTTCTTATAATATTATAATATCAAGAAGACAAGCAATATGATTAAAGAAAAAAATCAATTTGGGAATTAATTATAAATGATTGATCCAATACCAAATTCTCCAAACCAAACAAACATCATGAGAATTTCTCCTTGCTAACAATATTATTATAATATCAAGGAGACAAGCAATGAGAATAAAGAAAAATATCAACAAGGGAATAAATTATTAATAATTGATCCAATACCAAATTCTCCAAACCAAACTGTAAGAATTGCAAGAGAGGCAGTAAGGAGAATTACTAAATAAATGTGATCTTAAGGTCTACTGAGTAGTTGTCTTAGATATTTTCACTTTCTGCCTCACCACATTTTCTTGTGAATAGAAAGAAGCAATTAAGAGAATATGGAATGTTACATCAATTAAGATAACAACCTAAAGCTGACCTTTTCCATAACTCTCATTGCTTGTTTGCAGGATTGTATATTAAAAGTTTTAGGAGACACAACACATTAATCACTTCCAGAAGTTTTAGGTCTATGCAGCTTCAAAATCAAATTATTATCAATGGAATATATATTAATGTAGATGTAACACCAACCCATACTATAAAATACCTCAAAATGAATACCTTACAATAGCCACTGCATTTTGAACCTAATTTAGAGAGAAAAAAAATATTTTTCATGATAATACTGAATGCTAAATAAGACTAAGGTAAAAACTACAAAATAATGAGCCATCATTTCTTTCACCTTGTTTGTTGCAACAGCTTCCACTGCAGATAGAGTGCAACCACATGCAACACGAGCACTTTCACAAGCATGCTGTTAAAAACACAAAAGTAGACTTCCAATCAAAAGGCATGAATCGGTAAGGGGAAAAAATTTATCTGCGATGCATTACATGTATTGAAAATGATTCCAAAAAAATATGAAAGGAGACATTATTTTATAATTACATACATACTAGATTAACCTCATCAGCTGAAGACAACTAGCAGGGTTAAGTAGAAACACTTTGATCCATATCCAGAGTGACCGCATTGTGAGACAAATAATAATAATTCTCTTTTGAAAGTGTTTTATTTACCACCATGACAAACCACAACCCTTTTCTTTAAAAATTTTAAACATGTAGTGAAATATCTGGTAAACCAGTCCTCACCTCACTCATGTAGACAGAGTCATAATCGCAAGCCCCCATGTTGTACAGTTCCTCTTTTGTCATGGTCTGCGATGATATCATCTTGTTTACATGTTCTTTACTGTCAATAATAAAGTACATTATGTAATGATGCATTTTTACAACTTGTTTAATGGATAAGCTCAGAGCTAATTAATCCATTCAATCATAATTGAACCGAGTCAGATTGGAGTGTACAGGCATTCACAAGCACATGCAGTTAACATTTTTTTTTTTTGCCGCCAGCAGTTTGCTTGCAGCTAGGATTCTTTTCAAGATTACACTGCAAGACTAAAAATGTTAACTTTTATTGGAAGCTTTGTTTTGGAACAAAAAAAATTCTGTACTGTAATATTCAATTATCTACTTCACAAAGATAATATTTAATTCATTAGAAATATTACTAGCACTTTGGAGATAATAGAAATTGTTATCTGATAGTGTACCTGTGTTGACTAAGCAGCTCTTCATCTGTAGCAAGTCGAGACTTGAGAAAATATAATATCAAACATGGTAATTATTATCAAATTTAAAAAATGAGCATGAAGTGACTTGCCTTCTCTGTCACATATGTTAATTGGCACTCCAACATCAAGCTGTAAATTAGTGAGACCATATACTTTATCTACTGTACATATTTATATGATTAAATATAAATCTAACTATTGTTATTTTTGTAATCATTTCTAACAGTTCTCAGTTAGCATTGCTTGCATACTTTGGTTGGAAATATATAATTATCAACAATACAGGAAAGCAAGTGATCCCTTGTCAATGGAGTTGAAAGTCTCTTCAGAGCCAGATTTCAGAAAGGAACTAAAGTCACCTCGGTCTATTAATTAATTAAAAAAAAAAAGGGCAAATTGATCGGAGACTGCAGAAGCAGTTTGAATTATTTCCCTAACTTAGCACTGACAATAACATCTATAGGTCAAAATATATTAAAGTTCACATGGCAACCAGGTGGACAATCAGACATAGTTTGATGCTACACTGGTTTGCAGATTTAATGAATGTAACCGAAGAAGTTACAATTCATAGACCCAACGTTTCGACACTCTTGTCTAGTGCCTTCAGGTCAATTGATTTACTTACTGGGATTTCCTGACACCTTTCCAGGAGACCATATTCCTTGTGTTTGTCATATGGCCGCTGTATTCTATCAGGAACCTCAGGATGAGTTCTAAAATAAAATGAAATTGCCTCATCCTATAATACAGTAGATTGTGAGCAGGTGAATATACTAAGCCAATAAACACCAGGTGGTTATGCTACTAGGAGCTATCTATCTTGATTTTCCACAGGACAAAATGATTACAAGTAATTTTTACAACCCTGCATAAGATCAGCTAGACTATTCCATGTGTCTAATGGTTACCCCACTGGACTCTGGATCAAAGGCTTTGGTCTAGTTATTCAAACAAGAGGTTGTTGTTCAAAACTGCATCCTAAACAATCCTTAATTTTGCTGAATCTTTTATCTGAACATTTATTTTTGTGAACAGTGTCAAGAGGGCTAAAAGCTAACAGTGGAGGGAAATCTGATAGAGAAAGGCTGAAGCCCACTGATTGCATAAAATGAGAGAGAGAGGCCCCCTAAATGCAATAACAGTATCATTCATTAGGCAAAATAATACAACCTATACACACAAAAGAAAAATCAAATTCAATATTGCATCACTTACGCATCCCATTCATTAAAATGCTTTTTCATCCTTTCATCAAACACAATTCCAGTTCTGAAAGAGAGAAGTAATAAAAAAGAGTAATTAGGATTTTAGTGTTTGTACCATGATAGTCCATTAAAAATGCTATGGTCAGAGGTTTTGAACTGAAATGTCTGAGTAACAACATGCAGGTTTCCCTTGAAAAAGAACAGTGAATGCTGAAAAAAACAGCACCTGTTCTTGATGGCAGTGAACAATTTTTAAATGAACAGTCTTAGAGTGGATAAAGTAGCTAGGGGTGGTTATATAAACGACTATTTGACTTTTCCATGTACTTAAAGGTACTAAGATCATTTTACTGAAACTCCTGTTGGCCTAAAAAGTTTACTCATATAGCTAGTAGGAGTCTGTAGCTCAGTCACATACATGACTTGCTACCCAGTTGGCCCATTGTTTAAAAAGAAATGATTCTCACAAATGAGTTGTAATTTAAGAAATTGCAGAAAAGAAGCCTGAAGAAATTCAGGTTTTGATGTAATTTGGACCTTTAGCTCCCAGATATGTTTTTAATTGGTGGTACTACAGAGTGAGTCATTAATAACATTTTAGAAAGGCTAAAGATAGTTATTGTTCTAAAGAGACTTAAAAACCCCCAAACTTTTTTTTTTGAAGACTGGTCATGGCATACTGTGAAGGCATGTTGAGTATCTATATGTTTTATGCAATGCAAGGAGGATTATTTCTGTCAATTCCAACTGGCATTTACTCATTTGGTTTCCAAGAAATGGATAAAATTTCCTATAAATTTTGGAAGTAATGGCTAATAACTTACCTTTTGGCCATAACAGCTGACTCATTCATTATTTATAGCTGTGAATTGTAAGAAAAAGATTAGGTATAAAACCTTGAACACAAAATCCTAACTTAAGAACTTCAAACAATACGTGATCAATCCTACTTATGACCTTTTAACTCCTAGAAGTGATCAAAATGTAACCTCTTCCTTAAAATATCCACACATTATCCAGCAAACAGGTAATGAGAATACTCAAATTTATCAGATAGAAGTCCTTATCTTGATCTACCAACAAATTCTCCTTACTAATTCACAAGGAAATTAGTTAAGGCATGGTGCAACTGATCTGGCAAGTGGCCAGTTAATTTAGACCGTGTTTGCAACTGTTCTTATTCCAATTTCTCCTAAGTTAAAAATTTGTCAAATTAGTTTGATTGTTAAATTATTTGTCCCATTCTATGATCAGAATCCAAAACAAAAGAAAACAAAAATAATCCCGGCTAGTATAAAAAGTTTTATACTCATGCATAAATGTTGTGGTTCAATTTTTCACTGTTCGGGCCGAGTAAATATTGAATTTCCAGCCGACTCTAAGGATGTTCGCATGGAACTGATCACAGACCAGACTTACTTTTAGCGTACAATTTGATCTTTTGTAAAACAAATGTAAGTGATACATATACTAGTTATGCTTGTAAGTGTCTAATTAATTCAAGCAAAGTGGGCAGCCCCACAGACAGTGTACTCGGTGAGAGTTACGTATTTACTTTTAGAACGATCGTGCGAGGTTAAAACCATAAATATGTATCAATTCCCGGTGTCCCCTGTTACCAAGCAGGTAAGTATTATGTCATATTTACTTTCACTCCACCATTTAGCTCAAGGAGAGGCAATTCGGAGAACTCGTGTGTGAAATGAGAAAAAACCTGATACCTTCACCCGTTGATTCAGGAAACGGAAAAACGCAACCTTTGTAAATTGGAGTTCCCACCGTGCCGGACAAAGAAACCTTTCGTGGCCTCTCAAAGCACATTAAAAGTTATCAGAGATTGCGTGACGAAAAGTTCCCAGCATCCCCCTTCCTCTCAAATCCAAACGGAGAAATACTTTTAATCTATGAGGACAAGATATATTATGCCTTTTTTTTAAAACCTTTTTCCATTGCAGAAAAAAAGCCCCTTTTTTTCCTTTTTCTTCTCTCACCCAAACCCATCGTTTATTGATTACAGAGAGGTAATTGTTTTATTGAGGCGAGGGGAGGTAAGGGATAACATGTGAGCAGTCAGTACTTTGTCACGAGGATGCGGAAGAAATCGAAAGATGGCGGCCAAACGCGCTAAAGTTGAAGAAGATGAAGACCCTTCAGTTACAGTTTTTAGGGAGTATTTGAGGATAAAAACTGTTCAACCAAACCCGGACTATGGTGAGTGCATTTTGGAGAAAGGATTGTTTTCCTTTTATTCATTGAAATTCATGTGAAATGAACATTGAATTTCTTGAATGGTTCGTACATCATCTTTACTATTTCAGATGGCGCCGTTCTTTTTCTTGAGAGGATTGCTAAGGAACTCGATCTCGCATTTAAATGTGTAAAGGTAGATATGCAGAATTTTCTGGCATGGAATAGTGCTGAATGAATTTCAAGTTAACAAATAATTGACATATCTTTTGATATACCAATGAGAGAACTCTTTCACAAGACAATGGAATTTGCGTCATTACGGTGTGGCTCAGTTTTTTTTCTTTTCAATGCTGTGAATTGAAATCCTCATCGGGGTATTTGGGTGAACGTCGTTTCTGCATGTGAAAACCCATGCCTTTTTAAACACCTAACACTCGGAAAAGGTACCCCAGGATCCATGTTTTATGTTCAAGTAATATAACAGAATATGGCAAAACATAACCCCCTCTCCCTCCTCTTCTAAAAAGGTATTCTTTAAGTCCATCCTTGCTATGACCCCACCAGTAACTTTCCTTTACATCTACCAGCTGAATTTTGATATTTTGATTGATGATGCTCAAAGAGTTTGATGCCAAATCCATAATTAGTTGGTTTATTTTGATTTGATTTTGTTTTTCATTTACCTTATAGAATGCTGAGTCAGGTAAAGTTGTGGCAGTTGTCATTACTTGGAAAGGAAAAGAGCCTGATTTACCATCCATCATGTTAAACAGTCACATAGATGTTGTTCCAGTGTTTCCAGTAAGTTCCCTGACAGACACGATTTTAGCGGAGCTCACAGAGTGTAGCCCCATAATTATACAAAATAGTAGTAACCCATCAAGCTGAAAAAATTTGGATGTATGACCATACAACCGTATGACCATATGACCGTACGACTGTACAAGGTGCTACTTTTAACATGCGTAGTCAACTGTACTGCAGGCATGCCAACACCACAGCTTTGTTCAGTAGTCCAGTGGTCAGTGCACTGGGCTCAAAGCCAGACGACATGGGTTCTAGTCCTGGTCGGGGCGAGGCATTGTGCCCTTGAGATGTGCAGGAAAAAAAAATGCGAGCTCCACTTTTAGGCTTGGCTAAATCTATTTATTATAGATTAACTGAGGTACTATATGTAAGCTCCTCTTGGTCTTAAGGCATATTGAGAAGAGTCTGTGATTTAATATCACCTTTCCTAGTGATTGCAAAGTTTTGTCTAGGTGAGCAAGTGCTCAGTTTGTTCCGGGTGAAAATTTTTGCAGCTATCTTTGATTTTTATGGCAGGGAAGGCTGGGGAGAGAAATGAATTTGTATCAAGGGGTAATTGATGGTCAAAAGGAAAGAGAGGGGATGGGGAAGGGCCTTTTTCCCTGCCCCCTGCCCCCTGCCCCCTGCCCCCTGCCCCCTGCCTCCTGCCCCCTGCTTCCCATCACCCATTCTAACTCTAAATCAAACATGGCCGGTCAAATAAACAATTACGAGCTTGTGATGTGGTAATGCCTGCATTGCAGACCTTATTCTTAGAGGTGCGATATACTTTGCAAATAACTAACTGGTACATATTCTTGTAATTGGCAGAAGAAATAGGAAAAGTAATAAAAGGGGCCAGAACTCACCACTTTCAGTAAATTTATCATTTTATTTATCTTATCACAGGAACACTGGACATACGATCCCTTCTCTGCCCACAAGACTGAAAATGGTGATATTTTTGCCCGTGGAAGTCAGGTTTGGAATCATGGGTTGTTGTTAATGCATAACTAAAATGATCTACAGTAATTATAATTGTGTTATATAAAACAAGTAAAAACTCAATTTTGTCTTCTCTTTTTTCCCAGGATATGAAATGTGTTGGCATCCAGTAAGTAAATGAAAATTATTTGTGTACATTGTTTGATTGTTGTATCTTACCTGAGAAGTGAGTGAATACAGTTAAACCTGTATCAAGTGACACTGCATTACATGATCACCCTGTATTAAGCAATCACTTTCCAAGGTCTCAAATTTTTCAACCCTTTATTACAATAAGTGTAACTTTCACATCTATTAAGTGGTTATGGTTGCCCTTTCCTGAGTTTCAATGGCCGATTATAATTGTCTCTCACCTGTATTGAATGGTCACTTTGGAAACATCCAAATAAAACTAAGAATCATCTTTTAAGTAAAATTTCATCTATGTTTATCTCCCAAAATTAGTGTTAATAGTATTTTTTAGCAAGTTTTTGTTCACTAAGTGGTCAATCAGGGCATAAAATGTTTTTTTTTCATGGTTTTATTATGATACCCCAACTCTGTGGAACCTGTTTTTTGGGTCAATCTATTCTAATACTAGTCTACTACTATCTATACTATACTAATGCACTGTGATATGCTGCTAATACCAAAATAAACCATGCATTTTGGTTATAGCAGAGATTATTTTTTGAGATGAGTATTATGTGACAAGTGTGCCAAAAATTGACTTTCATGTTGTAGAAGTGAGGTTTAAAGAGACCTTAACCCTTTAACTCTCAAGATCTGATTGTCAATTCTCCCCTCTAGCTACTACACATTTCCTTGTAAATTGGTTATGAGAATTTGGTGTTTGATCAAGATAATATCCTGTTCCTGATAAGTTTGAGTATTCTCACAACCTGTTTCCCCAGATAATGTATGGATATTATAGGGAGAAGTTACATGTCAATCACTTCTGGGAGTTGAAGGGTTAACACAAAATGGACATCACCATAATCAAACAATCATTAAGTCACAGGCTTCTTAATTTAAAGAAACCTTCCACGTAATCAGATACCTGTTTGTTTGTGTGTTTGTTTGTTTTTTAATAATAGGTACATTGAAGCAATAAGAAAGCTCCAATCACAGCAGTTTACCCCACGTAGAACAATTCATGTCACATTTGTTCCAGGTAAATCCTTTTTTTTTATTTCAATTACACACTTTTTATTAAAGCAAGTGATGAATCTGTATAACATTTTAAAATTTTACTCTTTTTCCCTCACTTTTGCTTTGCTAATTATTTAGATGAGGAGATTGGTGGAGTAGATGGAATGGAAAAATTTGTGGAAATGGATGATTTTAAATCTCTCAATGTTGGTTTTGCTTTGGATGAAGGTATGCAAATTCCAGTTATTGTTTAATATCTTTGCTTCAGTAGCTGTATGCTATAGAATTTTAATCAAATTTCAGCAATAATTTCCATTTTGTAATCTAGTTATTTGATTTTGCTCTTAGGGCTTGCAAACCCAACAGATGCATTCACAGTATTTTATGGGGAAAGATCTGTTTGGTGTAAGTGTCTTTTCTATTTGTAACTGTATATTTATGGTGTAGTAGTGATAATGACACATAGTTATCCACTGAAATAATTTAATGAATAAATTAAATATGTGAAAGTAATTATCATGACTTTTATTTAATGATCGAATAAAAGTCCTGACAGTTTGCTTACATTGGATTTTCCCAGAAGGTAGTATCTTAGCCCATCCAGTCTGCATTGCAGTCTTATCATTTAAGCCGAGTGGAAGTCAGAGGAAGAAAAGGGGTGAATGCAAACCAAAGATTTAGAGAAGAGGAGTGAAGAACAGTGTACTATAGAATATCTGAGCTCAGCAGGAGACTCTTGCTTCCCTTTTGTCTCCTTAATTTTGTTGGTTTTAGTGCATGTCTTTGCATTACTGCATGTCAGTGATTACCTAAAGGCTCCAGCCTCTCCTGTTGGCTAAAATAGAAATGAATAAACAAATAAAGAATGCTATGCAAGCCAATTTCATCCTGAATCAAGCACACTCCAGACTAAACACTCACACTCACTGTATAACTTTTCATTTTCAGCACAGATAATAATGATTACTTAATATTGAATAATTAATTTTGTTACACAAAACAGGGTTGAAAGTTATTTGCAAAGGTCCTCCTGGTCATGGTTCCAGATTTGTGGAGGACACAGTTGGAGAGAAGATGGTGAGTCTTTTAATTGACAAGAAATGTTTTTAAAGGAAAGGTTCCATTTATCCTATTGGATATTTCCTTTCTGATTGCACCCCAGCTTGCTTAGTATGTAAATGAGCATCCAGTTATCGATTGTCATCCTCTTTGCACACAGGCTGGTACTCCAACCTTGAAAATTTGAATAAATTTTACAATGCAATGAATATTCTCTACTTTTAATATTAGGACTTTTAATTATTGGTGTCTTGCTTGTTTTTGTTGTATTCATTTAGTTTTGGATTTTTGAAAACAGTAGCTTCAAGAAATCAAACCAAACAACTGAACCCATAAATTACATTTGGGTTTCTATTTTGAATTACAGTGCAAGATTGTACAGTCCTTTATGTCTTTCAGAGAAGAACAGAAGAAAAGGTATGAAAATTCAAATCTCACCCAGATATCAACTTAATTAGTAAGCAAGCATTTTATTTATTACTAATTGCTTTTTGTTTCAAATGGAGGTGGCCTCCATTTACCATTTGTGACTAATTAAGAACTATCCTTAAAAATGCCTATAAGTAGTGTCCCTAGATGATCTTAGTATCAAAAAACAGATGTATTAGGGATGTTTAACTCTTAACTCTCAGATCAAATTTGTTATTCTCCTAAATGTCAATCATACAATTCTTATAATGTTAGTTCAGAGAAGTTAGTATTGGATCAACTTATTATCTCCAAATTGATATTTTTCTATATTCTTATCACTTATCTGATTGACATTGTATTGATATTGTAAGGAGAAATTCTGTCTTGGTCACTCATGGGAGTTAAAGGGTTAAACTGAGGTGTGAGTATGGTGTAACTTTTCAACACATTGTCACCTCTGGGAGAAGTATTCATTAAACACTGAAAATTTTGCTTCATTACTACTTGGTATTCAAATTTTGCATGCTTGACTTCACATAATAGTTTCAAATGATGATCTAAGTTAATTGTTTACCTGAGTTAGTTATCTGGGGAGTTGAAAGTGAGTTAAAACTATCTAAAATTTGCTCAGGTTGAACTCCAATCCTGATCTGAAGCTTGGTGATGTAACTACAGTGAACTGGACAATCACTGAGGTGAGTGTTTTGGACCTTCTCATTTTTTTTTTTTTTTAATTTTGGAAGGGAGCTGCATAGCAATATTGTTGTTTCTTCATTTTCAAGAAGGGGGGAGGGGGTTAGGAATTCTAAATTTGAATTAAAAGTTTACCAGGGTGGAGAGGCACCAGAGTGGCAAGAATGAACCAAAAAAAGAGAGAAGACCGGAGTAGTTTTGCACAACTTTCCTAGAATGTGGCTGATTTATCCCCCTTCTTATTCTTGCTGTTGGCATGCACATCTATTTGTTGTTTAAAAGTAACTTGATTTCCCTGCAATGTGGTAATATCAGTTGAAAATTACAATAAGCAAAATGTGTGCATTGCTTTTTCAAGGGTGGAGTGCAAGCTAACGTCATTCCAGCAGAAATGTCTGCAGGTAAAGTCGAACTAACCCTCAACACTCTAGGAGTGATAAGTATCTAACTTCTCTCAACAGTACCACTCCTTTACTGGTAATCAAACATTAAGGTCATGAGAATAAAAGATATGATCAGAATCTCAAGAAGTTCTTGATTGTTAGACAAATTCTCCCAAGTAGTACCATAGGAAATCTGTAGAGGACAGTAGGGAGAACTTGCATACTGATGTAAGGGTGTAAAGGGTTAATGAATCACTCGAAATGTCAGCTTTGAAACTCTTTATGGTGGCCAATTTACGTTATCAACTCAGTTGATAATACTAAATTACCCTGAAATAAACCTGTGTCTGGATTACATAAATTTTCCTTCCCTCAAAGCTGACAACTTTGAGTTCTCACCTCCTATGAGACATGGCAAGAATAATCTCTTTCAATTAAGCCCCGTTTTGAACAAGTTTATTGTATTAATGTCCAATTTTTGTCTTCCTCTACCAGTGTTTGACATCAGAATCACCCCAACAATGGACTTTGTGGTATAGTACAGTTCATCTCATTGTGGTATCAATTTATTGCTTGTAAACTGTGTTGTTGTAATTCCATTGATGATTTTTTATCTGTCTTGTAGGAACTTGAGAACAAAATAAAGCTGTGGTGTAATGAAGCAGGAGAAGATGTATCATATGAATTTTTACAGGTACAAGGCTCCGAGGAACCCTGTTATAGTATAGCAAGGTCACTGGTCACTTTCCTCAGGAGGGGTGGGGTGGTGGGGGTCCTTTTCCAATAACTTACAAGCATTTGGTAATAAACAGTCACATCTAGGTACCAAAGAGATGCGATGGAAGGATCCTTCCCCTCTTTTCTGGTTATGCCCTATGTTACTTTAGAAGAAGCATAAAACATACGTTATATTATTTACTAAATCTAACATTTGTATTGTTAAATGTTTCTGTTCTTTCTTCTTTCAGAAAGCAAATAACTACAATTTGACACCGACTACTGAAGATGACCCTTGGTGGAAAGCCTTCAGTACCACTTGCAAGAAAATGTCAGTTTTCAACCACGACTTATGTTGTTTTGTTAAAGGACTCAATCAATTAATCTTCTCATAAAATTTTCCTTGGCAAATAAAAAGTAAAGGAACGAAAACTTTTGCAACCAATTCCAGAAGAGAATAAGAAAAACATTTGCTCTCAGTGATATACTCGTTGGCCTTTGCGTTACTCCGCTGGTTTTTAGATCGACCGGTCCGGAAATGTATACCATATCTCAATTTCTTATTTAATTTTGTTTGCTTATTTTCTTTTTCAGGAACATGAAAATAGAGAAAGAGATTTTCCCTGCTGGAACTGATAGCCGTTTTTTACGCGAGGTACAGTCCTTAAACCAGCAAGAAATACTGAACCCTTTTCACCCCAATATCAGTATACGTATTCTCCATACTGTTAATCGTACATTTCTTAAGGTGCTGACAAGGAGAATTTGTTTAACAATCAAGACCTTTAGTTGGTGATCATTTCCTTCATTCTTGTGACCTTTATGTGTAACTCAGAGGAGATATTGTAAGGAGAAATTAGGTGTTAGTCTCTCTTAAGCGTGAAAGGGTTAAGAAGAACGTTTATCTACTCTTATTGACTAATTAAGAAATTGTATCACCAAACTTTTATACTTTTTCCCTGAATGTTTTTTTTGTTATGAAACGTTCAGCTAACTTCGATACTATAACCCCCAAAAGTGACTAGCATCTAATTTCTCTTCACCCCTGAATCAAACATTAAGGTCACGAAAATAAAGGAAATGATTGCCGATTAAAGAAGCACTTGGTTGTCAAAGAAATTCTCCTTGTCAGCACCTGAGGAAACGTATGGAGAGTAGAAAATGCATACTGATGTTTCAGCGTAAAGGGCTAATTTCTTCATTGTCTTCATCAACAATGACATTTACTGACGTCGCCTTTGACTTCTACATTGACAACGACGCTGAGTGAAAGCGACTTTGACCGTTTTGACATGACATCGACTTTCGTATTGACTCATCTTCTGACATTTAAACTGACACTGTAGGTACACTTCAGTTGCCCAGCTTAATAATTTTTTTGAATGTATTTTCCTTCTTCACAGCTGGGTCTTCCCGCAATCGGTTTCTCGCCAATGAACAACACACCGATTCTTCTCCATGACCATGATGAATTCCTCAACGAGAAAGTTTTTCTGCACGGAATAGAAATCTATTGCGAGTTGTTAACAGCTCTGGCAAATGTGCAACCATTTTGAACTAGAAGATTACGTAACTAGACGCATATTTGCGTTCACTCGGGCTTTCTGTTGGAAAGAAACTTTGTTTTTTTCTATGTGCCTAAGTTTCTTTTGTGCAATTATTAGTTTATCCTGGAACTGTTTCGTGTCTGATTTTGCACCGCGAAAGCTCCTCTTCGTCCGCCACTACACCATGTGCTCATCAGTCAAAAGTCGCGCATACGTCAAAGTCAAAAGGTTGCGCATGCGTGATGAGGACTTGGTTACGTTTTGCCCAATTTATAACTCGGGAAGCCCGAGTAATAAAAATAAAGAGATGATATCACAACGATTTATTTGAAAGGAGAGAAGATGATTGATTTCGCGAATGTCTTAGATTCGTCCCAAACAACGACAGATGCTTGCACGCCCGTTTCTGAACATTCTAAGTTTTGTAGATGCTGTCATAAAACATATTTTACATCTCGCATCTCAACTTTAAAAAATCTGGTATCCCTCATCCCGCCTCGATTTTAAGCCTCATCTCGCTTCCCGCATCCCGCATCCCGCATCCCGCAAAACCTATGTTGGACCCTCCACGAATTCCGGTTCGTTTTACGCGGGCTGGCTTTTACCGTTGTTCTACCCTGAATGTCGGTGGTCCTATATTCATGGATTAAAAACTGGAAATGGAGTATCTAACGCTTGAAAAGATTTACAGCTTGACGATTCTTCAGATTTGCTGCATATTAATAACCGTCAGTGAACATCACTCGCCGTCACAAGACATCAGTCACCGTCATTAGGCCTTGTTCGCTGTCATTAGCCATCAACGTCACCAACTAAATTTTCGCTGAGAGAAAGGATAATACTGGAAATTGAGAATTCGTCTTCAGGGTTCTTTCGGCTTTTTCAATATTCTCGTCCCCAGAACCCACAGGTCCTTGGGGAGGCGTAGGGCTTCGTGATGAGATTGAACGGATTTTGAATCTCATTTCCGGTGACAGCTTTCAATTTCTGAAATCTCTTTTTCTTTTTTTCCTATTTTTCTAAAATTTTTGTGGACTTCCTGGGTTGTTCTGTGCTGCGAAACTTTGACCTTCTTGACTGTGCAGACTAGAAATTTCCATAAGCTTCTAGAGCAGTTTGAAACTTGATTCCTACAGACTTTTCGTTCTGTAGCCCTTGCTTATTTTAGAAAGTAGTGTCAGTAAGTCACCAGGAATAACTAAATTGTGTAATGTTTCTATAATGAGGTCGTCTTGAAAGGTTCTAGAATTTGTATCTGAAATTATATAAATGCAACTTCCATTAACTGTGTAAGTTAACAGTTTTAAACAATCCGCTGTCACAGTGTGTGTCTGACTACAAAGCAAGACCAGCGTTGACTGTTGTACTCTATGTGGTACTACGTACCTTAGGGGTGAGTTGATAACTATGTTACACCGTACAACTGTTTGAATCATATCCCTTCAACTCTTCCATTCTTGGCCTGCGAGTAACCCTTCTCAAAGCTATTTAACCGTAACATTCTGAGATTTTGTATCTTCTCCGATTATTTCGGAAATTTATTGAGTTCACTGAAAATAATATTTTGGAATCAGTTGATTGGTATTTCCGGTACTTGAGGTATACATATGTACAAAGTAAGATAAATATTTGCCACCTTAACAAATGGCCAAGTTCGAGAGGCATTTTTCTTGAAGCATTTTAAACCGAAAGGAACGCGCACTTGATCTTTGATTTAAGACTTCCGGTTTTTCCAGGCAGTGCACGTACAACTGAAAATCTACATATTCCAGAAAATTCTGCAAGGAAGCAAAGAGCTGGGTAGGAACCTGACGTCATGTTACCTTTTATGGCATGTCATGGCTGACTGGTGACAACCGGCTCACTATCTTCGTGAACGGCCACGTGAATTTCGTTTCACTCAAGAGTTGTGACCCAGTTGGGTTCATCGAGTGAATTTTTTACTCTATAGGTCTTTACTATCAATCTACAGGGGAAAGATGTCTGTTGTAGGGTTTGATGTTGGAAATGAGTCATGTTATATTGCCGTGGCTCGTGGGGGAGGCATCGAGACTATCGCGAACGAGTTTAGCGACAGATGCACACCGTAAGTTATATAATGCATATAAATCATTGAAGAAATCTATGCAATAGTCCCTTTTTCCTTACGCACTCCAAGTATCGAATTATTACTGATTTTTATTCGAAATTTACTTACAAACCTTGTGATCAATTCACTCCCTGCTCTTGAAGCGTGAGAGTTAGTTTAAGCATTGTGTGAACTAAACTTGATTAACCTTTGTACGAATCAAAATTTTGCGTGAAGACCTGCGGACTTTTTTATGCCCTATAGGAGTGTGGTGTCGCTTGGGGAGTCCTTGAGGAGTATTGGAGTTGAAGGTAAAAATCAGGTAAAGCTGAAAGTTGTAATTTTTCTGTTTCGTTGGTGAATCGTTTGGTGAAACCAAGTTTTTCTAAAGTTGAAATGTACCGATTCTGTCTTTTTTAAACGAAGAAATCGTGATATCTTTTTATACTCACAATATCCATATGAATTAACAGATGATATTCAATTTGAAAAATACCGTGAGCCAGTTCAAGAGGCTTATCGGTAGGAAATTCAGTGATCCTGTAGTCGAAGATGAAAAGAGAAGACTACCTTGCCAGCTTGTAGAAAACCCGGGAGATTGCATCGGCGTAAAGGTAAGATTCAAACCTCGAAAAAATTCCTTTTCTCATTTGAGATGTTCACTGGCAAGGAATTAAACTTTTGCTTCACAATTGTGGAAAGGGTATGTTTTTCCTATATCTTTAAGAGGATTAACTTTTTCCTTATGATAATGAGGTTTTCAATCAATGTATGCATGTGATATTCCACACGCAATACACATGTGTAAGATTCTTGAAGATTTAGCTTGTGTATAGAATATTTTAGATATTTAGATTATACAGCAACAGCAGCAATTCTAGGATTGTTCCAAATTGTCCCTGGAATAGCGCCAATATCTTTGCAAGAAATTGTTTTCTGATAGATTGGTTTGTGCTGTGATTATTGTATTTTCATTTGAATAACTATACTATTTAATGCAGTTATGTGGATCAATGTTGCATTCAGATATTTTGTACTTTCAACTCTGGAATACTACTTTCCATGTTACTCTTAATTTCATAAAATTATTTAAGAACAACTGAAAACTTATCTAAGGAAGATATTTCTTGGAAATGAAATTCTCAGAAAACAGAAATTCCTGAATTGTTTCTTCTTGTTGCAGTTACGTTATCTGGGGAATGAGGAAGTGTTTTCACCAGAACAGATTATGGCCATGCTCCTGACAAAACTGAAGACTATTTCTGAGAAAGAATTATCCACTAAAGTTACAGACTGTGTTGTTTCTGTGAGTACTTATGTTGCTCTAAATTTTTTTGCTTTGTAAAACTAAGATTTAACATAAATTTTACATCGTAGTGCATTTGCAAACAAGTAAAATGAAATTGAAATAAAGAATGGCACTGAAACATTTAGAAGTTTTTTACTTGGGTGTTATAAGTGACTAGCTTTCATTCACTTTACATGTGAGTTTGTAGAATTAATAGGCTTTGTAGAAGCCACAATACTTGTAGTCATGTTTTACTCCTTGCTAAACCACTTCTAACTCATCAGACTTCAAATTTTTTGTTTTTTATAGATAAAAAATGAAAATGAAAGATAATCATATTAGATGTCAGAAACATGACAGGGAACAGAGCACATTAGTATTAAGAACTGCAAATGAATAACTTGAAAAAATTAGTTTAAATGTAAACTCCATGACCTAGAGATTGTATTAACCCTTAAACCATCATGACTGACCAGCACATAATTTCTCCTTACAATATCAGTGTAATATTAACCCTTTAACTCCCATGAGTGACCAAGACAGAATTTCTCCTTACAATATCAATAGAATATCAAGCAGACAAGTGACGAGAATGAAGAAAAGTATAGGTTAGGGGATTATAAGTTGATCCAATGCCAATTTCTCCAAACTAAGATCACAAGAACTGTATAGCAGACAGTTAAGAGAATTACTAATGAGAGCTTGGGAGTTAAAGGGTTAAGAGAGAAATAATGAGATTAGAGGAAATTATAAATTAGGGGATAATTTGTTTATCCAATATCAAATCTTCCGAAACAGCACTATAAGAATTGTACTGCAGACAGTGATGAGAATTTCTCTGAGATCTTGGGAGTGAAGGGGTTAACCCTTAAACTCCCAAAAGTGATTCACATATAACTTCTCCCTATAAAATCCTTTCATTATCTAGCAAAGAGGTAATTAGAATACTTAAGCCGATCAAGTAGAGGTTGTTTTCTTGATTTAACACCAAATTCTCGTGACTTATTTAAAAGGAAATGTGTAACAGCTAGAAGGGAGAATTAACAATCACATCTTGGAAGTGAAAGGGTTAAGTATCCAGAAACTTGTAGTGAGCACTAGTCAGTGGCAGTTTATTGTTCTGTTGTTCTGACCTCAAAGGGCACACAGAGAGGGTTGCTTAGGGTTAGGGTTAGGGTTAGGGTTAGGGTCAGCAGAAGAGAATTTCTCTGAAATGCCTTGTAGTATTCACTGCTGCCACACACCTATTGGTTGGCACATTTGTAATTAAGGATAAAAAGTCAGTAACCTACAGCAGTAGTTAAAAGATTTATTTTTGTCAGGTTCCCTGCTATTATACAGACAGGCAAAGGAGAGCAATGGTGGACTCAGTCGCTATGGCTGGACTGAACTGCCTCAGACTCATGAATGACACCACGGCAGGTAAATTTCAAATCAGGAAAAGCTAAATTATCCTGGTTGGTCCCTAAATATTTTCTTTTAACATTCATTGGGAGAATTTATTGAATATACACACATGTTCTCAGGGGTAATCAGTTCCTGATCCATGTGAATTTTGTACAATGATAAATGTGAGGATATGGGGAAGTGAAATTTAATATTTATCACCTAACTCTGGGGACCTTTTAGAAGGGTTTACCCCTTTTTTGGCCAAAGGCATGAATGTTAACCCCTCTATCCACTTGCTACAACTTTTCTTCCTTTTTTCTTTTTTTCCAGTTGCCCTGGCTTATGGTATCTATAAACAGGATCTACCAACTGATAAACCTAGAAATGTGGTGTTTGTTGATATGGGTCACTCCTCAGTTCAGGTTTCTGCCTGTGCATTCTTGAAAGGACAGCTCAAGGTTTGTTTCATCTTGGTACAAAGGATTCTGGCTCTTACTCCTTAATGTGTGATGACATCAACCTAATGTGTGGACGGGGACTTTACAGTACAACCCACTTAAAAGTGCATTTGCATGTAAAAAGTATTGGTTTTATTTGTCTTGATGAAAACTCTTATTTTTAAATTCCTACAGGTGCTTGCCACAGCTGCTGATCCAAACTTGGGGGGTAGAAATTTTGATGAACTTTTGAAAGATCACTTTGTGGAAGAGTTCAAGGTAATACAATGATCTTTATCAGAGTACCGTAATTTCTGGTCGTTTACTCACATGACCAATTTCCTACACTGGCCGATTATTGTATACTGCAAAAAAAAAAAGTCATCAGATTACCCGCACTGGTGGATAACCTGCACATTATGT